GGGTCCCTGCTGATGGGGACAAAGCTCCTATTTAGAACGATGGAAAGGGTCTGGAAGGTGGGGACGGCTGCGCAACACTCTAAGTGTAATCGATGCCACTAATCTGTACGCTGAAAATTGTTAAAATGGCAAATTTTATGTTCTATATATTTCATCACAATAAAAAAAAAACCCATGCCTCTATTATTCTATGTGAGAGATGCAAAAAAAAAAATTAAATTTAAAATCTGAGTCATTAAAAGAGGACTCCGTTACCGATGTGGTAAAGGCATTTCTTTTGGCTGGGAAGAATGTATTGTACCACAAAGGGGTTTTCCGCAAGCAAATACTGCAGGGACCCAGTGTTTCTGCAGGGGCACCTGGGTGGCTCAGTGGGCAAGCGTCCGACTTCGGCTCAGGTCATGATCTCGCGGTTCGTGAGTTCAAGCCCCATATCCGGCTCTGTGCTGACCGCTCAGAGCCTGGAGTCTGCTTCGGATTCTGTGTCTCCCTCTCTCTCTGCCCCTGCCCCACTCATGCTCGGTTTCTCTCTCAAAAATAAATCAACATTAAAAAAAAAAAATAAAGACACATAAAAGCCAAAAGCAATTATGCATTCTTTGGCAATGCCAGTCAATCAAACCAGAGGGGTTCCTGAGGGGAAGAAACAGTATACAAAGAAAGCGCATTTGTAAATGTCCCCATATTATCATGATGATAAATGTCCTTAGTGATGATGAAATGGGGCACACAGTTTAGAATAAAGTCCTCCTTCATCTACCCATAACACACAGACATACAAATTTACAAGTACAGGGGCCAAAAACACCCAATTTAATACATAAGTGGGAAAGAAGTATCTAGAAACCTGGGACAACACTGGGGAAACTTCATGCCCTTGTTCATACATGTGGGCTGCTGAATTCTGATAGGTTAGGAAGCTATCCATGAGAGACCTACAAACCAGAAAGTCTGCTGTAGGGGGTTTCTTTATGGTGGGGGGAGGCGTTGCCCAACAGATCTGAGGGTTGTGACTTCAAGCCCTATGTTGGGCATGGACCCTACCTTAAAATTAAAAAAATTTTTTACACTTGTTGGGATGAGCACTGGGTGTTATACACAGGGGATGAATCGCTGGAACCTACTCCTGAAATCATTATAGCACTATACGCTAACTAACTTGGATGTAAATTAAATAAATAAAATTAAAAGATTTTTAAAAAATTTTTAAATTGTTATTATTTTAAGTGTATTTATTTATTTTGAGAGAGACAGAGACAGTGTGGATGGGGGAGGGGCAGAGAGAGAAAGAGATAGAGAAAAAACCCCAAGCACCCACAAAGCTTCAAGATCATGATCTGAGCCAAAACCAAGAGTTGGTCACTGAACCAACTGTACCACCCAGGCGCACCCCCAAAAAATATTGTTTAAAATTCACTGCAAGATTTAAGATTTCTTTGCTGTTTTCTACCCTCCCACCAAAAAGCATATATATTTTTTTAAAGATTTCATTTTTAAGTAATCTCTATACCCAACATGGGGCTTGAACTCACAACTCCAAATTCAAGAGGCACAAAAAAGCATATTTCTTCTTAAAAGTGAATGAATGAAAAAAGATGCACCATACTAATACTAATTGAAAGTAATCTTTATAAAAAGAAGAATAGTTAGAAGATAAACTACCCGATTTGAAAAAATTATTTTAAGCCCATTAATTCTTTGAGAGAGAGAGAATCCCAAGTAGGCTCTATGCTGTCAGTACAGAGCCCGATGCAGGGTTCAAACTCATGAACCATAAGATCATGACCTGAGCTGAAATCAAGAGCTGGATGCCCACCCAACTGAGCCACCCAGGCGCCCCCTCACCCAGGAATTTTTATTAAGCTACAAGACACTGTGGTTCTGGCATCATGACAGACACCTGGATGGATGGAACAGAAGAAAGAGTTCTGAAATAAATTACACAGAGAGGGGTAATGGATTTTTAACAATGGTACTTCAGCTAAGAACAGTCTTTCCAACAAATGAGGTTGGAAGTGGACATCCGCGTACAGGAGGAAAGACAAAACCTTTGATATATCCCTCACATTATATTAACAAATGAATCAAAGTAGATCACACACCTAAATGTAATGCTTAGAAGAAAGTCTTTGTGATCTTGAGTCAGTCAAAGGTTTCTTAGCTACGACACCAAAAATGCAATCCATGCATTAAAAAAAATTGATAATTTGGACTTCATCAAAAGCAAACGTCTGCTCTTCAAAAGACATTGTTAAGAGAAAAGACAAACCAGACTTGGAAAAAAAATATTTGCAAACCAGATACCTGATAAAGGATATGCATTCAAAATTTACCAAAAACTCTCAAAATTCAGTAAGAAAACAAAACACCACAATCAAAAACGGGCTAAAGATTTCAACAGATGCTTAACAAAAGATACACCAAGGGCACAGAAGATGAAAAGATGTTCAACATCATTAGTCATTAGGAAATGCAAATGAAAACCACAGTGAGATACTAATACATACCTACTTGAAGGGCTGAACTTTAAGAAAAAAACTGACAATATCACATGTTGGCAAAGATGTGCAGGAAGTGGAAGTCTCAAACTCCACTAGCAGAACTGTTTCATTAAAAATACATAAATAAAAATAAATACACACACACACCCCTACTGTATAATTAGTCATTCGACTCTTGGTGTATTCTCCCAAGAAACATGAAACTGTATGTCCATACAAATACTTGCAGTGAACACAGAAGCTTTCATTGTAATAGCCCCGAACTGGAAACCACCAACAGGTGAATGGCTAAGCACACTGAGTTACACTCATATAGTGGAATCCCATTTGGTACTAAAAAGGGATACGCTACTGATACATACAATGACAAGGAATGATTCCTTAAGGAAAGAAGCCAGGCCCCCCCAAAAGGATACACTGTAGGACTCTGCACAAAATTCGAGAAAAAAACAGACTCATCTAGAACAACAGAAGGGAGATCAGTAGTTGCCTGGGGATGTAGGGGGCAGGAGGGAGGGAGGTGGGGCAGGGAGGGGTGGGAAGATTATACGTGGGCACACAAGGAAACTTTTGGGGGCAACATATACCCCTCATCTTGACCAAGGTGATGGTTTTAGGTTTTAGAAGTGTACACGTAGGTCAAAACTTACCAAATTAATCACATTTAAGTATGCTCAATTTAAAGCTCAAAATAAAGCTGTTATAAAAAATAAATAAAATTGACAGCTTGTTTGGGCAAAGTCGTTAAAACTTTGGGCAAAGTCCTTTCAACCAAGCGAAGGCAAGATTCGAGTCCATGAGGCGCGTCCACGATGAGGTGCCTTTGTATGTGTATGTGCCACTGCGGGGGGTGGGGGGAACCCAAGAAACAAGAAATTCTTCCTTTTACAAAATGCAAATGGCAGGGAGGGGTTCATCCATTCACACCCTTCGAGCCCAGTCCTGATGCAATCTGTTTCTTTCCTTATCGCTCAAGTAGAAAGTGATTACTCCCCTCTGTGAATCACTCCAACACTTAAGTTAATTTTCAGATATCAGCTCAGTGCATTTCTCCAACCGCCCATCACACATTTATTTTTTTTTTTTTTTTTTTTTTTTTTTTTTTTTTTTTTTTTTTTTTTATAATTTTTTTTTCAACGTTTATTTATTTTTTTGGGACAGAGAGAGACAGAGCATGAATGGGGGAGGGGCAGAGAGAGAGGGAGACACAGAATCAGAAACAGGCTCCAGGCTCTGAGCCATCAGCCCAGAGCCCGACGCGGGGCTCGAACTCACGGACCGCGAGATCGTGACCTGGCTGAAGTCGGACGCTTAACCGACTGCGCCACCCAGGCGCCCCCCATCACACATTTATTAAATGACGCATCTAGGCCAGATTCACAGAGGCCTGGTGCTGGAAATACAAACGTGAGCTGGGCGTAGTTCTTTACCGGCAAAAGCCTCATAGTTTACTGGCAAAAGACTTGGACAATAAGACGCTGTAACATGTCCACAAACGTTTAAAAGCACAACAGGAACCTGGAGACAGAAATTGGTGTTGTCAGACGCGTGGTCTTGTGCTGTAGTGACTGGTTCGGGACCCCATTTTCTTCTAGACCAGTGCTCCCCAAGAACAAGGGACCGTGACTTACTCACTTGAATCATCCACTCAATCACCCAGCACAGGACCTGACATGAGAGTTTTCACACTTGTGTATTTGTTTGAACGCATGGAAATTTCACTTCATAGGCATCCGCTCTTTGACTGGAAGGCAGGGCCACCATGTTGCCAACTTGTCGGTTGAGTCCCAACCTTTATCCATTTTGTCATCCGAAGCAAGTCATTTGAGGGGAGATGAAACACTGAAATCTAGGTTCCCCCAAATCCCAAAGGAAGCGCTCATACCCATTCTGTCAGTGAAGAAAACAAGGAGGAGGTAGGGGTGGGGTGGATGGGGCTCGGTCAGCGAAGTCTGGGGCACAAGAGTCACACGGTGAATCAAGGTCCCGCCGAGGGTCTAAAGCAGGCCCTGGCGGCCGTGTTGTGACCATCAGGTATTCCCCTGCCCAGCGAGCACACATCTGATCTCTAGAGGCATCCCACCAGTCTCACTGTGACAGCAATTTCTAGGGATTATACGTGGGACTTTCTGCTTTTCCAAAAGATCACAAACCCTTGACCTGCACTCAGTTTCTGAAGGGGCAGAGAGGTGGAACAGATATGCAATTATGAAGTTTCAGTTAAGATAAAACTAGCACAAAACGGAAAAGTCTCAAACTACAACCAAAAGATTTGGCCTAAACACCAGGCAAAAATCCTTCACCGTTTCCAGACGGCGCGATTGAGCCCGAGAAGAATTTTCCACTCAATCTTCAAGACGAGGTCGATTGGCTTCTTGTACTTACGCGTCTAGAAACCACAGGTCTCAGAAGAGACATGCAGTAGAAATTTATTTGTACTTGTCTGGACCCACCAGCCTGACAGCTCCAAGGGGCAACAGGTAGGGGTGGGGCTCTTACCTGTAGATGGGGTCCTGCATCACCAGCATCTTGCTTTCATCCCACGTCCACTCCTTTTTCTGCAATAAAAGAAGCTGTAAATGAATAAGTTAGGCTTGTCCTCCGCTACAGAACCAGGGCAGACATTGAGCTACTGATGCCTATGCAAACGCATGCACTTGCTCCTGGCCTGACTTCTTCCAAGAGGCCTGGCGCCCAGGGCTCCAGAGGCCAAAGGGAAAACATCGTGTCTGGTCTGAGCGGTTTCCTTCAAACACTTTAAGGAGACTGTCTCTCCGGGGCACAGGAGGCAGGTGGGAGCCAAGGCCACCCCAGGGGGCCACAAGCAGACTCTAAATCAAAACTTCATGGAGAAATCGTCAAGGGGAAAAAAAAAGATGATATATCACTCCAGAGGAGTGGGAGAAAACAAAAGGGAGAAGGAGGGGCACCCGGGGGCTCAGACGGTTAAGCGTCTGACTCTTGGTTTGGGCTCAGCTCATAATCTCATGGGACGTGACTTTGAGCCCTGCGTCTGGCTCTGCACTGGCAGCGTGGAGCCTGCTTAGGATTCTCTCTCTCTTTCTCTCTCTCTCTCTCTCTCTCCCTCCCTCCCTCCCCTGCTCACTCACTCACTCTCTCAAAATAAATATTTTTTTAAAAAGGGAGAAGGGGGCAGAGCTGTGAATGGTGCTGTCAAAAGCAAAGGAAGTGCAATTCTCACCCTCCCTTCCTCAAAGGGGACAAAGCTGGATACAGGCCTGGAGAGTTAACTAACGCATTTGTAGTCACCCAAGAGGACAGTCGTGCTGGCTGGGAACCTAACTCACGGTGAACACAAAGGACACCCCTGAGCAGCTGGGGACGAGGACACGATGGGGGCGAGGGCTAGGGCGGAGGACTCAGGGGCAGTTCCAGAGGCCCCAGATGCTTGACGAGGGGAGGAGCACCCCCACCTCCCAGGTCCCCAGGTGCAGGGACAGGGGCTCCTGCTGCACCTTCACTGGCCTCTGCCGCAGGGGCGGTGCTGCCCAGGACAACCTGGGAGTCTCACAGTCCTCTCTCCGCCGATGGGGATCAAGCAGAGTGAAAGGCAAGCAAGTGTATGTTGGATTAATCACTGTGGGACGAGCACCGTCAGCTCTGGGGGTTCGTCAGAAAGCACAGGGCAGTGGCTCTCAAAGCGCTGGGGGTGTGAAGACAGAAGCCTCCCCCGGGGCCGGGGGGGGGGGGGGACTATATTCAGGCCCCTTCGGCCTGAAGCATTTCTCCAGCGTGAACACTCAAACACAACCCCGTACGCACCTGGCAGGTGTATGTACGTGCGCGAGCGCGCACACACACACGCACACACACACACACACACGCGCGCCGTTTCACCCCCAAACTCTTATTCAATACCAATCCAACCCACAGAGGTGGCTTTTCGACGGGCTTACAAGCATTAGGTATCAAACGCTGTTTTACAGACAAGGAAACTCAGCTTCAAGAATTAACTGTTTTGGGGGGACACCCGGATGGCTCAACCGGTTAAATCTCTAAGCGTTGATTTGGGCTCAGGTCCTGATCTCGCGGTTCGTGGGTTCAGGCCCCGCATCGGGCTTTGCGCCGACAGTGCAGAGCCCGCTTGGGATTCCCTCTCCCTCCCTCTCTCTGCTCTTCCCCAACTCTCTCCCTCAAAAATAAATAAATAAACTTTAAAAAAAGCAAAAAAAGAATTAACGATTTCTTTTCAAAAGTTACCTTCCTGTGACTGTTACTCATTGCCCTGCAAGATTTTAATACAGGAATGGCCCATTTGGAGCAAATCCAGAAAGAAGGAGAGTACATCTTTTTCTAAATAGGAACTCTCTAGATGCGTATAAACACAGCCAATGCAGACTCTCTTCTTTAAACTAAATCACCCCAGGCTTTGTCAACATTCCTCAGCAGACAAGTCTTCTGGATTTCTCACTACCCTAGCTGACCTTCTTTGTACCCCTCTTAAAAAAAATTTTTTTTTAATGTTTATTCTTGAGAGAGAGACACAGAGGGCGAGCCAGGGAGGGGCAGAGAGAGAGGGAGACACAGAATCCGAAGCGGGCTCCAGGCTCCAAGCTGCCAGCACAGAGCCCGACGCGGGCCTCGAACTCACAAAATGTGAGATCACGACCTGAGTCCAAGTGGGACGCTAAACCAACTGAGCCATCCAGGTGCCCCCTTCGTACCCACTGTATTTGCCAATGCCCCCCTCAACACCTGCTACTCTGGCCTGAATCCCTTCCTGATTTACATGTGGTCTAATCTGCAGACACACATTCCTATCTCTGTTCTGGCTGTGATACTGCTCTTAACCCAGCAAGGATCGGTTGATAGTATTTTTAGCCGCCTCCTACCCTTCCTGGCACATGTTAGGCCAGTTTCCAATGGACACACTGAGAGTTCTCAGAGGCAAAGTAACTCATAATTTGGATGCCTGTATTTACTTATTTATTCATTCATTCATTCATTCATTCATTCATTTATGAGAGAATGAGAGAGAGTGCGCGTGGGCAAGCACACGGAGGGGTGGGGCAGAGAGAGAGGGAGACACAGAATCTGAAGCAGCCTCCAGGCTCCAAGCTGTCAGCACAGAGCCCGACTCAGGGCTCAAACTCACAAGCCGTGAGATCATGACCTGAGCTGAAGGCAGAAGCTCAACCGACGGAGTCCCCTGGGCGCCCCATGGATGCCTATTTTAAACACACACTATAAACGTTCACCACAGGAATTCTTTACACAGCAAAATATAAGGTTTCAAATACGGCTTGATGTGGGGGCAAAAGCATAATAGAAATATTAAGTAATCAAATATTAAGTTAAGCCACATCTATATTTAGGACCACATGTCCTGCCGGAGGTTAATTTAATTCATGTCTGGAAAGCACCACCTCTCTGCTGCTAAGCCTGTTTATTTACATCTGATTTCGGGAGTTGCAGGTTTTAGTTCTAACATTTCCATTTGGTTCTGCTTTCTTCTACGTCTTTGCTGAGACTTTCCACTTCTTCTGTGTCAAGAGCGTAACTGCTCATGGAAGTATTTTTACGACGGCTGCCTTAACGTCTCTGTCAGATCATCTAACATCTGTCCTCTCGGTATTGGCATCTCTTGACTATCTTTTGTTCATTCAAGTTGAGATTTTCCTCATTTCTGGTGTGGCAAGTGATTTTCGATGGAAACCTGGACATTTCAGAAAACACTTTTTTTTTTTAAGTTTATTTGGGGGAGGGCAGAGAGAGTGGTAGTTTTACTGTCTTCAGAAACTCACATGCCTCTCGCTTCTATCTGAAAGCATTTTTTTTTTTTAATGCTTAGAAATAAGGTCTCGGGAGTCTTGGTAGCTACATGTAGGAATTTTCAGTTTTGTTTACCCACTGGCTGTAGTCTCCAAGATGCGCCAGAAAAGGAAGACATTTCAAGTCCAGATGGGAGTGGAGAGGAGAAAGGAGAAGAGCGGAGGAAGGGAGAGGGGTGCGTCCCTGAGGCTGTCAACACCTCTTCGAGGCAGGGTTTGCCACCATCAGCCCAGGAGGACCAGCAGGACGGAACGAGCTGGTCTTAAGCCTCCTTCAACCTGAGGCCCAGGCTCAGGCGGGCCTCACTGGCACCATTCAGAGTCCAAGCAGGTACGGCAGGGAGGCCCATAAGCGAGGCCCAGGGAGGCAAAGATCAGCCCCCTCACCAGCTCCATAAATATAAAGGGATGGGGGAGAGGGGGAATGTTAGCGGAGAGGGAGCACCCTAGGGGCAGCTGTCTGGCCGTCTGCCAGCCCCCCAACATGTACCTGTACACACGTAACTCCTTTCTCTTGCTTGTTGTCCCCTCTGCACCTGCCAAGGACACTCACAGCACGGTCGAGACCTTCAGGAGGCCCCTGAACTAGGGTTCGCTAACCCATGTCTCTCTATGCCTTCCCTCTGCCATCAGTCTCCCCTCCCCCTTCTCTTCTTATCAATTCCTTACTCCAAGGGAATTAAAAAGTCAACAGGATAGATCAACTTAACGTGAGGGAAGGCTCTGCGTCATATTATTGGCTAGTCAGAATTTTCTGGAGTTAAGAAGTTGTCGTTGCAAGGATGTGCCCTACCGATCTTCCATTACAGGGAGTTTAACCAAGATCCCAGGGGTGGCATTCTGAAGCCCGTCCTCTTGCTTCTTTGAGGGGCCCTGCTTCCGGGATGCTCCCGGCCCATCAGGGGTGCTCAGGGGTGCACAGGGCAGGCCCGTTTCTGGGAGACACAGGAGTCCTCCCACATGGGACTTTGCCTTCACAATCTCCTGACAGTCTTGCCAAACCTTCCTCAGAGCACACCGCCATCTACGAGACTTTCATCCACCCTTCCTTCCTTCCTTGCTCTCTCCTCCCCTTGGAATCAGACCCACTCAGAAATGGGATAGCTACCAGCCTCTCCCAGGGCCTCCCCCATTTTCTCTCACAGGAATTCAATCCTGTCTTGGCATGTGCTTTTTGGAGGACCTAGAATAACACAAAGTGAGAAAAATACAGGAAAGTCATTTTATAACTGCTTCATTTTCTATCCTTGCAAGAAATTCTCCAGTTGATACGGGAGAGAAGTCTTCCTTTCATTTAACGATGTTTATATAATGCTTCCTTTGCATTATCAAAATTGATCTCAACCTTAAAAGATAAACACTAAGCCTCGGAGATGGTAACTTACGTCCATCTGAGTTCACCTAGTCCAGTGGTAATTGAACCCAACTCGTATACCCTCCACGACCCATGTTCTCCTTGCTACTCCAAGTGATGGAATCAAAGAACGTCCCTCTCTGTCGCCTACAAATGGTGAAGGGCTTACAGGGTATGTTCCTATAAGACCACTGAATGGGGTAAGCACGTCCTGTATCTAGTGGGTGCAAATGGCCAGTCCTCTACGGAAAGTTACAGCCATTTTGACGTTCCAAAATCTCCCGGCAAGGAATATTACCTGGGAACTAGGTCAGACGTAGGTCTGCCTTGAAGGGCCAAAACCACAAAAGAGAGTTAGGGATAATCATCATAGCTGTTCTGTCTCCCTTTGGAGCCCAGAAATGCATATGGC